TAAATTATTTGACAGTGAAGTGCTGATCAACTCAAGAGAAATACATTGTTGCGTCAGCAGACTGAATTGCTGACAATCCCATTTGATAGAACAAAGTAATGAATAGAGTTTATGCTTTTGATTTATATCACTCGAACAGACGTTTTATTCATCAACGATTAGCGTATGAGAGCTGAGCCAATGGAATTCACACGGGGCTACACAAGATCAAATAGCGTCAGTATGCCGGCTACACCAATACATATATATTGTCACGGTAAACGTTTTGGCCCGCAACTTCCTTCTGATACCACCGGAATATATGAGTTAGTATTAGCTCTTTACATCACAATCATAAGTCATCAACGTTCATTTCCGTCACTCACATTATCCATCGTAGGTCACTTTTGTACACATATCTGTTGGTAATGTAGTGAACAACTCATAATACACCTCATGCAATCGGGAGTTTAACAGTATGAACAAAGGCCCAGGACTTATGCCAATGAGGCTGAGTTGTCGGAATTATTGACATTTGTTTAGCCGTATCAAAACTAATTCTTCTGATGCCGATATCTGATGCCTGGTTGCATTGGTTCTTACTACATCTCTGTTGACTAGTTACTTAACGCAGACGATATCTGAATCAGAGAACCGCGGGAGCATTTAATTCAAAGATAACCATGTCTCATATTATTGTCAATAGCCCGTAAACCTTTCATAATCCGACTGATGAAAACAACCGTTGTTCTGTATACATAGTTCAGTTCTCGGGGCTATTTATCTCACTGTGAATTAATGAAGTTCATAAAACCGAATGGCAATGTGACTATTGGATGTCAATTTTTCCCCAGCTCCAGTGTATTTTTCCAAAATCTATGAAAAGCATGCTACTAATCATCATGACAGGACGAGTCAGCATAGAAAATTATGTGATCTCTGTGTACGATCTTATAGGTTAGGCAGTTGTATCATGGCAAGTCCACAGTACTGGATTAGGAATATTATTCTGGTAGCATAGAAGAATGACACTAATACTTTCCCAGTCCTAAATCTTACAAGGTAAAGTAGTATCCAATATCCAGGCGATCTATATTTGTTTAACGTCCATATTCATAACTAGTGAAGTTCGGACGTACTCATTTCTATTCGCTAGGCTGTCTTAATACTGTTGTGGTATATTTTGACTGTTCAGCTAAAAAACTTGAAGTAGAACAGCAAAACGTAGCAGACGCCTTTTTTATACTGGTAAATTTTAAAGCGAAATTGACTGTTGGGTTGTAATCCGGGGGGAATAAAAACTATGTCATTACGGAATTGTCTGGCTAATACAATCAGCCTCGTCTCAACTTTTGCTCGCTATCATTTAGGCAGATCAACATCCAGCGTTGCAGAAGCTGTCAGCTAACGACCAGTTTCAATCACCTGTTTACCGTTGACATTGAAATAAGCCAACTATTCGTCATAAGTGCTACATGGCGCACAGAAATTCAATCTCGTGCTGATACTGTGCTGAACCACTTCAGTTGTTAACGTCCAGTGAAAAAACAATACGTTGATTGTTAATGTCGGTGGCTAATGACACTTTATCCTGGGGATTTGCTTGCCGACATAGATCCACGAAAACTTTGAGAGATTGGTCGGAGAATCATCCAACGAAATTCAAACCGGCTAGCCCTAGGGGATCCATATTAGAAGTGTGAGAGAAAGTGATCCGGGAGACTGTCTCTATTCTACGTCAGTGAACTAGGTTTTTCGACACCGATATCAATATAAAGGGGATCGGCATAGGATTCCGATTTTCGGCACTTCATGGCGACCTCAACATCATGCCGAGCTGGTACAGATCATGATTATTGTCAAGCAGTACATCTGAGTGTGTATGTGTGCACGGGCAATATCCAGGTGTATTTATTTTCTTGTAAACATAACCTTTGATACAAGGGTGTAACAAATACATATGCGCCGCTGAATAACAAGGAGGTAGTGGAGGGATAGATAATGTAGAGTGCGTATAATAAAAAAACAGTGAACAGAAATTAGTGCACGATAGTTAAATCATGATAGCGATAATAAAAATACGAGTATAAAACCAACCCTAAGTTGGAGAAGTAAACTTTGCTTTTATGAAGAAAGTAAAAGTAAGTTACAGCAGGATAGCCACCGGCTTCTATTACGAGCCATATCTGATAACGTCTCAAGCCACAGTGTTGCATCATCCCTTGGGCTCCAACCAGGGATTTGCGAAGAACCAAGAGAAGCAAGGCCTGTACGGTTTTCTTTCATACCACGACACCATGTCATACTGAACACCCCTCCACCTTTTCCATGACGTGGAAATCTTCAGAACGACATTCGTAAAACATATCCAAGCCAATGAAGTCGATGTTTCAAGACAGTGGCACCAACCAAATTATCGTCTCTGTGCCCAAACACACGATGTCGAACCTCTACATTACTAACATGGTATTGCCACTGGATGTCAGCAATCATTCGGCAACAGCAACTGTCAAAAACAGAGAGTCATTCAACTACATCAGGTTTTACAAGCATAGAGCAAAACTGCCCACACCGACACGCTATAAATCTTACCTTTTTACAGACAGATTAGCATCAATAAAGCGCTAAACATGGTCCAGATTGGCATAAACCACTCAGGCGTTTATTAGACGTGAATTGATCTCATCGCTCACGCCACCACAAGTACTTACGCAGCTTCCCAGACACACGAAATTCTCGACTACTTCTATCTGCTCACTATCTAGGATGAGTGCAGGATTAGAATTCTGTCAGTGCACATGGAATGTGCAAAGCATACACCATACCTACGAACATTGATTGCCAACTGATTAAGTGCGGACTGCAGGGATTGGGCATCATCGCACAGTAAGACAGTATCATCCGCACACCCGAGGTCGAAAGGTCTTTCACCAGACAGCAAATCCACACCACCGTTACCTACATCCATCAGACATGTTTCCAGAGCGTCATCAGTAGCAACGTTGAAGAGAGATGGTGAGGTTAGGTAACCATGCCTAACCACATTGCTTGAATGGAACAATAGAGGTAGGTGGTTGTATATTCTCACTCTGCCTGAGGTGTTTGTAAATAGGGCTTTCAAGATGTTAATGAACTTTTCCAGCACACCATTCTTCAATAGACAATCCCTGAGAACAGTCCTGTGTAAAGAATTGAGGTCATGCAGAAAATGCATGTTAATCAATAAGGGTTTCCTACCGTTTAATATTATCTACAGCTAATTCTAAACAGTCTACAATTATTGTTGGATCTAAATCTTCTGCAGCTAAACCGCCATCTTTACAAAGGATCCTAGGTGAGTCATCTGGCCTTGGTGATTTTTAACGCTCCGAGAGTTGGAGTTCCTGAGGACGTCCGCCTTGTTTGGTGGGTCAGTCGTCATAGGCCATTGAGGGTAGGACAGTCTGATCAATATTGTCGGGGCAGCAGACCATTTGAACTGATCCTCCAAAAAACTCTGCCCATCGTCCAAGACGTCGAAATATGGTAGTTGCTGGCATCCCGTAACCTTCATAGATTGTTACACTCACACTAGACTTCTTGCTACCAGTGACTCGGGTGAGTTGAAGGAGCTTCGTTAGTTATCAGGTGCGGCTGCTGCACGCTAGAGCTACAGGCTCTAATGAGTTCGAGGGAACCTGTGGAAACCCGGTGATTGTAGGCAGCAATTTTCGTGAAGCCGCAAGCGACTTCAGTCACCTTTTTCATGGCGGTACAAAATTGCAACTAGCACTCATTCATGCTTCACGGTGGGTTGGCAGCTAGCCGTGAACTTAGCCCGGTTTGATATGTAGTTGCAACAGAAGCTACTAACAATTCGCTGATATCAATACGTGTAGGACGATGAATTTGTTGGCCAACGAAAAGTAAGGTCAGATTAGCGCAAACAAAAGAGTGATTAGAGTTCAAATATTTACGCCGAAAGGAGCGTCATTATAGCACACAACCACGCCAGCTTAGCTGATCACAATATGATCAACACGAGTCTATGTTTGAGATGCAGCATTCAACTTTCGACTATTCAGTGACTTGAAATCATTTACATAGGACAGGATTCCCACCACAAGCTAATGACAACAACATCAGTGTCGTTAGTTTAGACACGCTGCGACTTCTAGTTCGTTAAAGCTAAGGGTTCAGGGACCCCATGAGTCTTGTAACGTGTGGGAAATTTACCACTGTATACATACCTAATAAGATCCAGGTCAGGCTCGGATATCTTGGAAAAAGTATAAAAGACGATTATCAACGTAATTATGGAATTCTGAAGTTCAGAATACACAGTGAGGCTTTCAAAGTTAGACCATACTGAGCTATTTAATTGTGGAATAAAGAGATATATTCATGATGTGTAAGGTAATATGTGATGACTTCGAACATGTTATATATTCCCCATTTTCTTCTGCCTGAGTTAGGTTAACTGGGGGGACATGGTGAGCACGCTTACAAGTCAACAACGGATAAACTTCATGTGGTATGAAGATCTTATTGCCGTGTAATTGGCTTACAGATGCCACAATTATTCGAAGTTTGATGACACTTTAACTAGCAACACTTTTTATAATCAAAATATGCCAACCCACTTAAATCAAAAGTCAGGAGCGAAGAGGTTCGAAGATATATTTGATAGACTATCGATATATCTAGAAGTGATAAATCTAAGCTGGCTATCGGTCGTAAGAGATATGAGGCTCGGCGTACCAACTCGTGATCTGGCGCGGGTGCGTGACTGTATGCCTTCATCTAGGTTGTCGCATTAAAGCTAATGCGGCCAGCATCAAATATCGAAGAATTACAGATATATTGATTTCGGGGATTTATTTACCACTACGACGGGGTGAAATAGCGTCCAAACATCGAACTCACTGACTCAAGAGAGGACAATAGACTCATGTAATCCCCCTAGAAAATGGTGAATACCGAATTTCAGCCTTCTGTCCACAATAAGCAAACTTGAATCTGAATCTATTGATAATCGGAAAGTTTGAGCGCTCTGTTTGGGATTGTAAGGTCAGGTGAGTAGGTTCATCCTGCGAAGTATTCGTTTTAAGACACAGATCTGGTAAAATTTTGAAATAAGATCACCATGAAGTTTTATTTTCAGTCTGAAAGTCAATTTATTCATTTAAGTAGGCCTATCCTTCGGTTGTTATTGTGTAGATTTGACTATTTCCGTTTTTAAATGACTTTGATCTGAAGTAATTCCTAAGCTCACTTATATGCTGACTGTTAGAATTTTACCTCCAAATGTCCCTAGATTTATCTAGGGAATTAATTAATACAGTTAACGGAGATAAGAGTAATTTCTACCAACAATTTTAATAACTACATAGGGTGTTACATTCGACGTAATATAACGAACCATTTGTGCCCAACCGGTATTGGACCCTACTGAAAAATAACCAACTCACTAATCATGATATTTCCAGATTTCGTAGTCTATAAAAGCACAAACATACACTAAGTTCGATTCCTCTGAGTACTTTACGTATAACTGTTTTGAAAACTTCACTCAACGCTGTATGAGTGAACACAATCTCAAAAAACGCCAATAGGTGAGACCATAATTTATGGACGAACCAATCAAATATAGGATATCAGGTCTTGAATTTTGGTGCGAAATTCATTCATCCATTTGGCCAAATGGCGTTTTGGCGTTTTAACTGGTTTCAGTTCGTTATGAAAGCCTTAAATATAGTTACTAACCACAACCACTACCTGTATGTAATGATCCTAATTTCCCACAGCGGTTTACAGCCCTCAGTCCTAGTTAGTAGACGGACATTCTAAAGGTCACTCTAGCGTCGCCATAAGGTTGTCCATAAATTATAGACTCAATCATCAATTCTAACACTCCGATCTAGATGATGGGTAGTGAAGTTTACTTGACTAATTATAAAGTCAACGTTACAGTAGTTCGTGTTCATATAAACATCCCAAGAGGATTGATATCTTGAGTCCACTGTAGGTTATTCATTTTTACCTTCTGGCAAGTTAGTTTTTGAAATTTCAATTTCATCTAAGATGGTACCCATTTTGTCAATATAATCACTTTTACTAAGAAAGACAACTGAACCCTTGTTAGGTTTCGTAATCAATAACGTCTCATCCTTTTGGAGCATGTTGATAGCGTCCTTTTACTTTTTTGTAAAAATGCTCTTTTAATTAAATTTTTTTTATGCTGGTAACAACGATTTACAAAGTTTGATTTCAAATATTATAGTTGTTGACCGGAATTCGCAAATAAATGCCATGACTATATAAATAGTCAAACTGTATACCTGTTTGTGGTTAAAGTGATTCCGGGTATCACAGAATTTCATACTTAAGGATAATATTTCTGGTTTTTCCTTATCTAGTTCAACACTTAAAAAATTATGGACATCCGTTTTGCAACAAGCTAGAAATTTACTTTCAACTGTTTAATTCTTCAGACTTTTCAATAGCTGGATACGTTTCGTCTCTGCTCTCTGTTCCATAACGTTCGTAACATAGTCCATAAAGAGCATTCTCAAACCATCCATTAGGTCGTCTACAGCATATTTTCTGCAAAAATAATTTATTTACATCTCTTCAATACCGGAATGCAAAGTGTCAATCTGGTTCAGGACGTAGCGTTTCAGTATTTTTCTATTTTGGTAAACTCCGTTCCGTCGTAACAATGTATGGTATAATTTTGAGTGATGACTTGAGTCAGTGCAGTTGTTGATAAATTCCCTAACAGTTTTCGTCCCAACGGACTTTACATCATACTTCAGGAACTCATCGAACTCCTTCAACGCAATGGGTTATTCACAACTCTTTAATTATTTAAACATCCCAGTCATATTAAGAGACTAATATACGGACGAAAAATATTGTTTTCAGTTAATTCTCTTCAGGTTCTAGAATTATATATCCAAATTAATAATCCGAAAAGTGGTCAGGTTCACGAAAAAGTGCATCGTTTAAAGTTATAGCATGTGAATTTAGGATTATTAAATAAAATAAAATTGTTAATGTTGAGATGACTCGTATGTAGTGCTAATTAGAATCAGCTTATATGTTGAGTGAAATTATAAGATTCACAATCAGAATAAATATGTATCAGGTCAGACTAAATTATTTATTGACATGTCACGAATGACAAATCTGAACAGTTCTTCCACTGACCGTTTCTAGCTTACTTGATTCTGAGCCGAGTTGTACTACCGCCTTACTAAACTGTTCTTAAACGTGAATTACTAATTTAGAGCTGATAAAAATAGTTTATGACAGCACCATCAAACATCTGGTTCCAGAAATCATATTCAGTTTATAATCCATGTACTAATCAAAACTGAGACCACTTGTTTTATTTTGCTATGAAAATAATAAAACAAAGGAAATAAGGCTTTGAAATGGCTTCGCGGTGACTGGCTTCATCCTAATCCATACTATCTACCACTACCTTAATTCACGACTCAATATTAGGAGTCAAATCACTCTAAATCAATAGATTGTAGGTCTTAACCCGGGCCCATTTTAAATAAATAGTTCTTATACAAAAATATATGACTCATGGCCGATTACTTAGAGTACATATGATTTTCCTGTGAGACTATAATTTATGGACGACCTCTGGCGACACTAGTCTTGAGAATGTCCGCCTACTGACCAGGGCTAAATGAGGGTTTCAAACCTGTGTGAAGTATGAAGATTGTGATTTGGAGTTGATGGTTAGGGATAGGGATTAGATTTAGGGTTTTCATCACGAACTGATATCAGCTCAAATGTCAAGATGCTATATAGTCAAATGGATAAAGAATTTGGCGCCGAACTCCAAGACCTGTTATTGTAAATCTGATTGGTTCGTCCATGAATTATAGTCTCGCCGATTTTCCGTTTTCAACAGTATCAGATTGTCTTTTTGGTGATTCTTACTTTGGATTTGTAGTGATCGGAAGTGCTTCCAGCTAACACACTCTACTGAATAACGGACTTACAACCAATTAGTCATGGGTCTAAACCCCACTCCAGTTTGACCAACAAATAGTACTAATAAAACTTAGAAGTTAGTACATAAACTTATACGTAGTAAATAAGTTAGATTTAAAAATTAAGAGGAACGTCCGCTTCATCATCTGACAAGATTGTACTGAACCAATATTTCGTTAGTATACAAAGTTTGTCCATCTTTTCTTAGATCGCAAAGTTGGTGTCTCATTTATATATTTCTACCATTTGGTTTTTTGTTATCCGCAATCTTTTCTTAGACAAATTTAACATCAATCTGTAATGTAATTTTATTTCCGTTGTTTTTATTTCATATTAGCAGGTTCATAAGCAGACATTGACGTTGAATTATTTGATGGCTACTGCTTCTAAAACAGAAAGTAGACTTGTTACAGAGCAAAATATTTTCAATTATTGCATCTCTGGTGATTTGAAATCATTAAAAGAATGTGCACGTTCTGTTGGTCAAGTAGTTCATAAAAATTCACTTGATGGTCAAACTTGTCTCATTGTAGCATGTAGAAATGGTAACTTTGCTCTTTTTCTCATTGTGAATCATGTCATCTAGGACATTTAGATGTTGCCGAATACTTAATCGACTGTCATGGGGCAGATGTTGAACAAGTCAGTTTCTTATACTGTATAGTTTCAGCTTTTACAGGAATTTTTGCACTCGTAGTTAGCGAATAAATTACTTTTAGATTTTTCTGCTTTCACAACTAAGTTCAGCTACGTTGGTTGCTTGAACTGGTCCCTGACGAGTTCCAAAAAGGACGAAGTGCAAGCCATGGATTCCATTCCAAGCCACTATCTATCTCTGCTTAGATTTAGATAGTTTTAAATTATTGCAATATTGCAGTTCAGTGTGCTCAATTCGTCCTTTCACACATCTATTGCACTAGTGTTCACTACATTTGATTTTTAAACTATACTATTAAAGCCACTGTATTTGTAGCTCGTTTTTAAATGCATTTCGCTCTGGAAGTACATAGTACACTCGGTTTTAAGTAACACTTTACACATATGATACCTAGTGCTACTGTTTAGTTGCCGAAATCATAATAGATGCAATGGTGTTCGATGATCTACTAATTAAACACCAATTTCTCTGACCATAAATCCACTGCTCTAATGTATCTGACGATTTTGAATTGACAGTTTTGGTATTCTAACAATCTTCTGAATTCTAAACATAATTTTCCGACACTGATATTAAAGTAATTTATGTTCTCTTGATCAATGTTGTAACTTTTCAGTTTTGATGAAGTAATCTTTTCTGTTACTCATAGGCTAGATCTCATTTTCTTTTAAATAAGTATAGTGTACAATTAAAATGTTGAAATCAATTCTCGATAAATTTTTCATGTTGCTCTTCACATTACTTTGTGCCACCAATGAATATAGTAAATGGGAGTGAACATGGTATCTACAAATTGAGCCGTTACATATTTGTGTCTGACCATACATTGACCATTACTGACTTGGAATAACAATCACAAAGAGTAAAATTTTAGATTCTCTTCGTTTTACAGCAAGGACTTTTTCATATGGCTTACACCAGTTTTGGTAGTAATCTTTTTTCTTACAATAACTTTTTAACTTTACTAAACTCAAATATTCAAGAATTTTCGTAAATACAATGTAGAGTGGAGGGATTAATTAAATACAATCCGGTAAGCAAACACATATTCATGTGTTTAGTTTCAACCAATAAATTCTATGTAAAAAAGATAGTGATAATATCTGAGAGTCCATACCTGGAATCGGTAGCCAAGCGGATCACATGATGGCGTTTGAAGCAAGCGATACTGAGTTCGAGCCCCGGAGTGAACATCAACGTCCGGTTACAAGCACACCCAGCTGACGAGTCCGAAACAGGACAAAACTCGCTTCCTAGATTCCACTACTAACCACTTTCCATCAGTAGTCATAAATGATTCTTATTGTGATGACAGGAAAAATAGGTGTATAATATAATATTATATAGTATTATTGGGCACATTATTTTGTTAAAAACGTATCTTACTTCAATTTCTGGTCATAAAATTTACATAATGAAGGTTAACTCATTCTTTTTTGCTCGTATATTTCTCCCAGGTTGGTGTTGTAGAATTTGAAGGAGAACAAGTAGAAGGTGTACCTCCACTATGGTGTGCTTCAGCAGCTGGACATTTAAAATTAGTTGAATTGTTAATTAGTCGTGGTGCAGACGTTAATCGAACAACAATTACTAATTCAACAGCTCTTCGTGCTGCTTGCTTTGATGGACATGAACAAGTGCGTTTCTTTCTCAGCAAGATATGATCACTTGTTTTTTTATGTTTACAGATTTTTCTATGTTGAAATTTGAGTGATATACAGTCGATTTTTTTGAACTGCTTGATTTAAATAATCGATTTCTATACGTTATTTATTCTCAAACTTGATAAATCTTTTCTCTGTCTCTATAAAACAAAAGAATACTGCACACTTTGTGTTATTGTCAAGAATCTTACCAAATGATGATAGGGAGACAAGTGTTTGGATAAACGCTTCCGGAGCATAGTTTGTATCTGATGGAACTGAAGTGAGTAAATGGATTAGTGTCTAGCAGTAGAATTTGGATGCTTGCCGCTTCGTCCTGACTAGGACTCATCAGTTGCATGTACTAGTATAATAATGTTAATGTTCACATCCAGATTAAAACCCATTCCCTTTCGTCTCAAATGCCCAATTAGTTATCTCGTTGTTGGTAATATTGACTAAATTTTAATCACTTTGCTAGTACGTATGTACCCGGTTGGAGTTACCTCTCTAAAGCTATATCTCTACGTTTTTTTTCGCAAAATAGATGGATTTGTGGCTACTAGTGAAATTTAGTGAAGACAAACAACAGATTAATTCAAATTCTCTCTAATAATAATGCAAATAACATACCGATTGCATATGCGAGTGGCTATCTGAACTCAATAGTTCAGTGAATAACTAATTGGGCATTTGAGACGAAAGGGAATGGGTTTAAATCTGGATGTGAACATTAACACTATCATACTAGTACATGCAACTGATGAGTCCTAGTCAGGACGAAGCGACACATCCAAATTCCACTACTAGACACTGATCTTTCTGCTTTATGAAAAACTTGCTACATAGCATCAATATAGAGTCAGTCCTCACAGAATACACATGTACCAAAACGGATTGCTCAAAACTCCGTTAAGATTATTAAAAACGTGACAGTTCAAATCCTTTCCAATGGTAATACAGTAAGTAAAACCATAGTTGAGTGTATGGTAAATGGTAATTTGGAATTAATGCATCATTATACAAAATTCGTGCTTTTCTTTCAAAAAGAGAGATATTTCTTTCTGTTTGAATAATTCTTTTTTCTTCATTCTATAAAGGTTGTTCGATATCTTGTTGAACATGGAGCAAATATTGAAAATCCAAATCGTCACGGCCATACTTGTCTCATGATTAGTTGTTATCGTCGTCATGATAGTATTGTAGAATATCTACTTAGTAAAAATGCTCGAGTTAATCGAAGAAGTGCTAAAGGTTAGTTCATAAATTTCCTTGTATATTTGTATGTCTATCTCTTAAGTGACTAATGATTTGATACAGTCATGCATGAATGAAGTAATAGTTGAGTAATTTGAAGTCAGTTTTGTTTATAAACTAATATTGACTGGAGAATTGTAGGAAACTAAGGAACACTTAACTGCTCGAGATAGATTGATATTATTTAGCAGTATACATCTACAATTTCAGTCATGTTGTACACTACACTCTTAATACATTGATAATAGTATCCACTATACATTTCTCAATGAAGCTTGAAATAATGATTTGAAGTTCTTACTTAGTAGTGAGGGCACTCAAATCTTTCAACATTAACGTTTCATGTTCAAATCCTAACTACTACACCTCAATTTCATCAACTGGATGGTAGTAGTAGTTCATAATTTTCTTCAGGAACCACCGACATTAGTGAGATAATTACAGGAAACTAAATAGCTGATTCGTTCAAGTATAGAACTCCTCAATAATGTGCACTCACAATATCACATGAACCTTCATGTGATTCGATATTTTAAGGCTTAAGTGCTCTCTGAGAGACCTGAATGCCTTGTGTAAAACTCCCGACTGGATAAACGATGCCCATGGTTGAGGAGTTGTATACTAAAACGAAACAACTGTCCAGTTCCTCCTCATTTTCAATGGTTGCCTGACAAATGCCAGTTTGTTATGTGAAGCACATAATTCAGCAATGTCTATTAACCCCTTATATTCAGGATAGTAGCATCGTTGAGATCTAAACGAAAACATATCTAGAATTCAATTATTAAAACTCGGTACTTGTGTACTACTACTAATTATATTTAATAACATTACTGTTATTAAAATCTTGTGTGTAAAGATTGATCACGCAAATTTCACTTTCGGTTATCTCATGTAGATATGAGATTATTATCAAGTGAAAATTTTTGTGCTCGTTAAACTAGTGCGTTGTAAATCGATTTTTTCGCTCGCTCACTAGCTCTTTCTCTCTCTCTCTCTTGTTCTTTCTATTGATTTATACATAATTGAGAAAAACTGAAAATGTGATTGATTAAAGTTAAGAAAAATAAAGCAAATGACATCAAGTGATTTTCATTTCTTTGTATAGTTATCTAACATATAATTAGCAATCAAATTGAATACAAGTTAGTAACCAAGTACATGCTTGGGTCATTGAACCACTGGGTCCTGTTTGCTGCCATTATAACATTAGTTTAGCTGTAAAACGTCGGGTTTACTTCACGTCAGCGAGAACAGTTCCACTCATGATTTATGAAACTTAGTTCCCTCAAGCTGATGTTGTTTGGTGACTTTTTGTTCAATCATCACTATCTCTAAAAGAATGCTTTCATCCAGTAGTAGCACCAAGTTAATAATGTCGACGTTCGGTATAGTACGTTCAGGCACAGTGGTAATGATTCAATTGATACCACTATTTTAAAATTCTTACTTCAGTGTCTTGATTATGTCTTGCAAATTTTATTCAATCGACTTCCAAATTGCATATTATTTTCTGACGCAGGGACTGTTTAGAAACAAGGGAAATATGGCCAATTTATGACATAGTAGGATGGTAAGAAAGGTAACTGTATATGACTGCTACTGTCAGTTCATCATAATTCCTGAGTGGAAGTCCTAAAGATGGGGCAACTCAGTGGTTTCGGACATTATCGGATTTCTTAGAATATAATCCAATCGTGATCCTGATGTAGTTCTTGACTACATTTTATAAAAGTAAGATGATCTTTTACTGAAAGAACCCTTTCTTTGTGAACTTCAAATAAACTGTACCTATCAATAAATATTATTTCTGTTCATTTCTTCGTTGGCTATTCATCTTCTTTCCCACTTATTTCATCACAACACTAGTGATTCATTTAAGTGATCCATTTTTATTTTGGTTCCCGAAAGCATCAGAATTTATGTGCTTTGGACAAATAAATTTCAAACTACATATTTAACCTAGCAGTTAGTTTTACTGCTAATTAGTTGTCCACTATTGTAGGATGTAGGGAACAAATCTTGAAATCATGTGTTTTGAACGGCTAAAAATCAAAGGGCTTTAGACCAATAAACTATTACTTTCGCACTGTTAATGATTAAGGAAATTTATCACATCAGTATAGCGGGATTTGTAGAGATTGTAGAATTTTCATAAGTTAAATCACGAGTCACTGAAAACCTGGAAGTACTAGGCAACTATTTCTCCCCAATATAAGACGACTCAACAGTGCGTATCCATGATCCAACGTCCGAGAATTGAATCCAGGACCTTCGATCTTGCGCGCGTGAAAGCCTAACTCCTAGACCACTAAGTGAGTGGTCCGACGGTGTACAAGTCTAACCTTAATCAATACACGAGATATCGTTGTTTTTCTACCGTTATGTATGTTACTGTTATCCAAGATCTGCTACTACAAAATTTTTCGCTTGGTAATAATTTCATATCTATATGAGATATTCGAAAGAGAAATTTGCGTGATCAATTCTCACATACAAGATTTTAATAATAGTAATAATAATAATGATAATAATAATAATAATAATAATAATAATAATAAATATAATTAGTAGTAGTACTGTGGTGTGTTACTGATGTTGACAGTTATAAGTAGTATGTATCAACAATCGAAAGTGAAATGTCTGACGGCAGAAGGTTAAGAAGATCGAAGGAAAGAGAAAGAAAACAGAGAGTGATTGGTATGGAGAGGGAAGAACAATGGAGTATGAGGTGATTGATTGACATTTTGCAATAGGAACAGTCATGTTTGAGACAATTTAACATTTTGCAAATGTAGATGGTTCTCAGATTTTACTAAGTGATTCTGTAATTTTGCGTTGAAATAAATTCGGTTGTCCTCACTTGTGTTCTCGTTCGCTATATTTGGTGTCGCTGTCAACCAAAAGGGAGAAAGGGTGATGTTCTGAGGACGCCGTCGCGGACCTGGAGCTGAGGTGCTAGAAGGTGACGTCAAGTGGAGTGTTCTGGCGGAGTGGCGTTGGCTGTAGCGGGTTTTGTCGATGAAGAGAAGTGGGACGTGCGGCTACTGGGTGGACATCGGATCTAGATGGCTCAGCAGGTCTCTGGAGCGCAGGCGTTTAACACCTCGGGTGCCGGCTGGACATTCAGTTGTCCCCACTTATGTTCTCGTTCACCACAGTACACAAGTACCGAGTTTTAATAATTGAATTCTAGATATGTTTTCGTTTAGATCTCAACGTTGCTACTATCCTGAATATAAGGGGTTAATAGACATTGCTGAATTATGTGCTTCACATAACAAACTGGCATTTGTCAGGCAACCATTGAAAACGAGGAGGAACTGGACAGTTGTTTCGTTTTAGTATACAACTCCTCAACCATGGGCATCGTTTATCCAGTCGGGAGTTTTACACAAGGCATTCAGGTCTCTCAGAGAGCACTTAAGCCTTAAAATATCGAATCACATGAAGGTTCATGTGATATTGTGAGTGCACATTATTGAGGAGTTCTATACTTGAACGAATCAGCTATTTAGTTTCCTGTAATTTGTGTTGGTCGGTATCCGATATAATCCTTAACTTCGTATACAGTTCGTCTTGATAACCGTTCTATATAACGCCCCAACGGTATATTAATCAGAAGGCAAATACGAAATGTTGATTACGTTTATTGCGAGACCACACACATATATCCAAATGTACAGATGCGTTAAACAAGCATAGAAGAGTTGTGCCAAAAGGCAAGCAAGCGAGCGAGAGCAAGAGCGAGACGAGAGGGTGTGTTTTAAATATGAATAACATGGACATATATACACCATGTGAAATGAATGAGTAATCGAGTCAAATAAGCGGTTAGTAGTAAGACTAGCAGAGTGAATAAATGCGTAGGCAGTAAGCAATATTCAAGCATACGTATTTCATACAAGCACAAAATAATAAGGGTACAATAAGTTTATACGAATATTCGTCAAGATTAGAACGAATAGTTTGACAGTAATTGAGCGCCGAGTACAGAGAAGTCATTATATGTGAAAATTATATTTGAAATATTCTCAGCGATTGAAATTTAACTAATTTCAACGTTTCGTCTAGCTAACTTGTTTGGACTTCTTCAGGGTAATAATCAAAATCAAAATTTTTCACAGATTGAAATCATGAGTCAGTTGAAGCTAGACCACCATTGAAAACCTGGAAGCACTGGACGGCCGTTTCGTCCTAGTATGGGACTCCTCAGCAGTGCGCATCCACGATCCCGCACCACGCGGGGCTCGAACCCAGGACCTACTGGCTTGGCGCGCGAGCACTTAACCATTAGACCACTGAGCCGGCATCCAACGGTGTTAATGTCTAACTTCAACCAATCCACGAAGTTGCGCCACCATATACCATTGTCTTCAGTGAGCTGATATCTCACAACAGACCTGGTTGTACTCCACTGGTAACGGCTTCCCACTAGAACTCCAGGAGTATCTCTTGAAGTCAGTCACTAGTGAGCAGATGATTATTATCAGAAGGGGTTTGTGGAGATTTTAAGGAATTTTTCACAGATTGAAATCATGAGTCAGTTGAAGCTAGACCACCATTGAAAACCTGGAAGCACTGGACGGCCGTTTCGTCCTAGTATGGGACTCCTCAGCAGTGCGCATCCACGATCCCGCACCACGCGGGGCTCGAACCCAGGACCTACTGGCTTGGCGCGCGAGCACTTAACCATTAGACCACTGAGCCGGCATCCAACGGTGTTAATGTCTAACTTCAACCAATCCACGAAGTTGCGCCACCATATACCATTGTCTTCAGTGAGCTGATATCTCACAACAGACCTGGTTGTACTCCACTGGTAACGGCTTCCCACTAGAACTCCAGGAGTATCTCTTGAAGTCAGTCACTAGTGAGCAGATGATTATTATCAGAAGGGGTTTGTGGAGATTTTAAGGAATTTTTCACAGATTGAAATCATGAGTCAGTTGAAGCTAGACCACCATTGAAAACCTGGAAGCACTGGACGGCCGTTT